TGACAGGGAATTATTGAGACGCTACAGATTGGATCGTGCAGGAATGTTTGTGGTGGATCTCCTTAGAGATGCAATTACTTCACCAACTCGACGCCACAACACTATTACACCGGAGACGAAAGTAATCACAACCCTGAGGTATTTGGCATCCGGGAAAATGCAACAATGCAGCAGTGATGACTTGGGTCTGCAATCACAGACATTGCTAAAAGCTGAGCCGTGTTACCCTCGTTAAGACCACACTGGACTTGTAACGTTGTGATTTCTACTTCATTAAGGACAGCCCTTGAGATAGGCCATCTTGTTTTCAACAGGGTCCATATGGGAGTGAAAGTACAAAATATGTCAGCTAGGATATTAATATGAGCAAATAAGACACAAATCATTATTTGAACAGGGTGTAATGAGTTTAAGTTTTCACATATTTTAGATTCTAATGGCTATAACCCTACAGCTTACTATTCATTTTCCAGATATTTTCTTGAATGTGAAATATTATTTACAATTACAGTCAGCATAAGATTAGAGTGTATAATTATGTTTATTGATTTGAGGGTACATCCTTTGCTCATTATCACCAAAAGCTCATTTCCATCAAACTTGTAGGTTCAACCAATCACGGCTTTTTAAATGATGACTCATACCTAGCAACGGGGTCAACCACACCTCCTCACTAAGATAGGATTTTCCATCCATTCCTTGCTCAGAGTTCACTGAAAATGTTCTGGAATCACTTCTAAGCTAAAACTCCTGGCAAGGAATTTTTAGGTTAAGTTAGGAGCTCTCTGAGAGGATTCTCAGAATCTTTAGGGATACGGGCCCAGGCCTCTAAAAACATCCCAGATAACAAGTGCTGCAGGTGTAACAGGTGTGACTGATACAATTTCACCTGCAAGGCTTCTCAGGTTTTTTCGTATCAGGGCAGGCAAGGCCCTGAACACCAAAGCAGCCAGTCTGGGCGAGTCCACTTACCCGCATTGGCTCCGTTGGCACAGGGTGAAACTCACAGATCAGAGATTAGGAGTGAAACAGGCTTCATGTACACAGAAGAAAGCTAATGCTAGGAAACAAACACGTTTGTAAGTTCTTTGTGAAGCCATGGTGATAGATTAATATTTTCATTAAAAAACAAACAAAGAGACACTAAGTGACTTTTCTATTTTCTAGGGCCGTGCTAGTGAAGATCCTCACATGGGCGTCACTGTCTGCTGTGAAAATGGAGATTCATAAAGACCGCACATCGAAACAATCAACAGACAGTTTAATCACACACATACACACACAACAAGCTTGCACATTTGCGTCTTTCCTGCCATAATCTGCCTTATTCACAAGTGCAGTATATATTTCAACAAGATCACTCAGAGAGCACGTACTAAATCTGTTTCATGATGTTTTATTACATTATAATGATGTAGACCTATTATGGAATCGTTGTGATGTTGTAAGCCATTGTACTGAAAAAAAAAATAGGAGGTGTGTTGTACAGTTCTCTCATATATATCATATACTGCTCATACGGTCTCATTTGTTTCTTTAGGGTCAACTTTGACCGTAAATGAAGATCAAGGTCAAATGCTTAGCCAGCTTAGGTACTCATGTCCCCAAAGGCCTCGTATGTTGTTGTGAAGTTTGAAAACAATCTTTAAAAATTGTGAGTGACATAAAGTTTTACTGATTTGGACATTTGATGTCACCTTTTTGTTCTTGCTTTCAATCAGCTCGAGCTGTTGGTGTCTATCATCAGATGCTAGACTGCTAACAAACAGACAAACAAATGGAACCGATCACCTACTCAGTGCTTTCAGGGGGACAATAATATTCTTTTCATACTTTAAGTGCAATACAAGAATTACTGTTATATACTTACTTAAATATTGTCCCCTTACTTTATCTCAGTGTGCAGCTTGCTTTATATTTGTATATACTCTCTTTAACACGTTTATAATAACTCAATTACATTCAGTTCCTTCGTACGATCTCTCTTTATTGACCTGACATCAGAGAGCTCCTGCCATGTATTAAAATACAAGTTGCATCCAGCAGCAGCAACACGATTAGCTGACTGCTGGAGAAACTATACAGATGGGCCTTTGGGATCCCAGTGTCTTTCCAAGCAGCTGTTTTTCCAAATTAGCGGATCCTCAAAACTGATTTTTTAAAAGCTTATTAAACAGTTTAGGAAAACATTAACAAACATTGTCCTTGTTCATTAACATGCTCCACCTGGATACTTTTTGACAGGAAGTTTGGGGTTGTCCCATATATATGTGAGCGTGCTGTCCACTCAGCTCCAAAGGGAGATGTCAGTTACTACACAGCAATCATACAAGTATCATTTTGCATTCTTTCTCTGCGAAGTACAGAATGTGAAAGGAAGTCACTGAGAAATGCAGTCACCCATAAACTGATCGTAGCAGTCTGAGATGCTTTTCCTCAGCGCATCGATGTCTTTCCTCAGCTGGCCAACTTCCAGTAGCTTTAACCTTAACTTGTCTTCCACTGCCACCACTTTGCAGTCACTGTCCTCTGCTGAAAAGGTCAGCGCTGAACAGAGAAAACAAAGGAGAAAATGTTATGAAAAAGTCAAGGACAATATTTAGTGAGCCAGATTATGACTGCATGAAGAAATGTGAAGCAGTGCCTTGAAAAGAAAATGATTAGGGCAGAAGGCACCATACACATGTCTCTCATGCAGTGCAACTGTGCTCTATCGCATTGAGACTGTCGCTACACTCGGGTATGACTCCATGATTAGGGCATCAGGGCACATGGAAACTTCTTTAAGACACTTATGCTTGACTGGTCACGCCACAGCTGTGCAGAGTGTTGGGAGTCTGCATCAGTATTACGACTGAGTTGGTTTACAGTATTTAGTCCACCTGCCTGTTTAATGGGAAGCATATGTTGACTTTCTGGCTGTGACCCCTTGCCTGCGTATTGCTCATGGTTTACGTGCTGGGTGGGAACTTGCTGTGTCAAGGCCCTTTTAAATAGGACTCCGCCCAGGCTGTGCTGACCGCTAGCTAGAGTGAATGGCCCAAAATTTGTGATGCACTGGCTGCCTGGCGAGTGAGTTTAGAACAATGTGTTGCTCACGATGTCACGGTTAAACACTCAGTGCTTTGTAAAACAAAAAAGAAACTCAGCTGTAAGTTGGGTGTGATGCTTGCTCGCGGTTCATGAGGTCACATGCTTGATGCAACCTTCCTATGGCGCCTAATGGAAGAGGATGGCGAGTGAGTTCTCTCCAGCCAATGCAGACAGCCTTGCGTGTTGCTCACAGAGCCATGAGTTACACGATTGGTGCTTTCTTCATGTGAGTTGGCTGTGACTCCTACTAACATATTACCAGTGCGAGTTATTGTGCTTGGTAGGTCCCTGCTGCATGCAGACATATAGGAATCATATCATTGTTGGTTTTCCTCTGTATGTATTATTGTAAGTCTACCTTACAATATAAAGCACCTTGAGGCGACTGTTGTTGTGATTTGGTGCTTTATAAATAAAACTGAATTGAAATGAATTCAACTGGAAGCTACCTGTGGTCCTTATGGTGTATTGCTCTGAAGTTTGCCACAGTGAGGTCCCATCCAGTGGCTTCAACAGACAGCTGATGGTCCAGCAAGTGAGAACTTATCTTATTTATATTTTAAGCATGTTTATTGTTACATTTCTTCTCTATTGGGGGAAGGAAAGTTAGAAATGACTATCCACTTTTATGCATAATCATTTCTAACTTTCCTATTAGTCATGTTAACAATAATTTGTTAGCTGGAATATCTGTGGATTGGAAATCAGGCACAAAATATTAAACATAGGGACATCATATGTGGATTTACGTCTACTGCAAGAAAACCACTTGTGCAAACAGAAGGTGAAGAAGTTTGATTTCATGATGAGTCAAACACAGCTCTGAGTGATTTCCACAGATTTATAATCTTTTTGTGGGGTAGGTCAGATGTGAGGAAGACAATCTTTCATAAATAACCTAAAAAGTTCAGAAGGATGATGTTGTAGTCTGGGGCTAGCATCTGTTATATACGTAAATCTTAAAATCTGTGTGTGGGGAACACTAAGAAAAAAAAGTTGGGTCACAGCTAGTTTTGTTCATCCAAGTATAAATAATGATTTTGTGTTTGATAGAAAAAAAAGATATTCAATGCCCTGAGATATGTTGTTGAAGTTCAAAGGTTTCTGATAACACAGGTCTCCAAAAAAAGAAAAACTGAAAGAAATCAGCTGCGTAGTACGGAAGAGGATTAAGGCCACTTTTTTTCTTCGTTCCAGAATTCTGAGAATCATGAGAAAAAAAATTCTGAGAAAAAAGTCAGAATTCTGACTTTTTTAAAAGAATTCTGGAAAAGAAGAAAAAAAAAAGACATACTCACTATCTTCTTAATCCTCTTCCATACTTCCGTAGCATGGGATACTTTTGGTAAATTTTATGTTTTTAGGGTGTTGAATCAAAAATGATCTCCATCTCCTCATGTTTTGCAAAAAACATTGATGCTTCTCTGAACACGCTTTCGCTCTTAGAATATATATTAATTCATGTAAGAAATCATTAGTGGATATGTTTTTTTTTAACTCAATATAGGATACCAGATTCAGTTTAAAAGGGAATTGTATGCTTAATAAACTTAAAACATGAGTTTGCAAGAAACCTGACGTGATGGAATTTTAAAAACATTTTCTTGGTTTCAGTGAGTAAAAATCTACAAGAAACAGTCAAAAACCCTATGCAGATTTTGGTGTAAACCTGTGTAATTAATCAGATAATTATAAATAGTTTTTGCAGCTGTTATTACCATTTATTTATTAAGTTAGTAAACATTAAGTGATACGCTTTAACAACCTCACTTTACCTCAGCTGTCAATACGTTAAGTAAGAACCATCCACATGTATTTTACTCTGGAAGAGGCTGTAAAATTTGAGTCTGATTCAGATCCATGAGTCAGTGAAACTCACTTCTGTCAGATGACACCAACAGTATCACCTCAGTATCGCTAAGCACTGTTTTGTAGTTGTTAGCTCTTCCTTTCCGGCATTACCAAAGCTTTCTTTGAATTTGAGCTGACATTATTGAACTCTGACAGTTATTGAATAAACTCTTGTGATTTTTAGGACATTAGTGGGTATAATGTTAGCTTATAATCAGCAGCTATTGTCGTTGTTGTTGGCTCCAGACAGCTGACAACTGAAATCTTGGAATGGGATTTAAAATTAAATCAACAGCTCCGAAATGAGTTTGAGAGCCCTATTCCAGGAATTTTACATGCGCACAAAGAAAACTGCTAACTGATTACTAGGTGACTAAAATAAAAATATATATATATTTTTTTTTACAAATGCTACAAATCTTATTTGTATCAAAAAATCATAAATGTCTGTATTTGTGTTCGCCCTCTAACTACAGTAGGTTACAAGTGATACATAAGAATAAGTATAAATAAGTATAAAATGTATGCCTACATACATGTCATTCCTAGAAGCAAAGACAGGTTGGGCTCTTTCCCCTGCGCTCTCTGAGCCAAGATGCTGCAGAGACCCTGGAGGTCCAGTAGACAAAGGGACATCTCTTTCAGCAGCTGGTCCACTTCTGGAATTTCCACATGGGCTAAGAAGACACCAGCAACCCTTCGTCCATCACCTGCTGCTTGTCAGTGAAAAAAAAAGAAAAAGAATTTTTTTTTTAAATATCTTGGAACAACATGTCCCATGTATCAGAAACCCACTCTCAGGATCACTGCAACTTTCAATCTAGCATGAGTGCTATTTTTTTTCCTATTTAACATGCACTGACAGCTAGGGATGGGAATTAATGCCAATTTAGCAATTCTGATTTCAATAGCGATTCTCATTGGGTTCTCACTGGCTCACTTTGAAAGTAACCACCATCTTAAGCACATATCAAGAAATTACATTCATGCAACTAACTGCATGCTGTGGGATCACAGATTTGTGTATGTTGGAGGCATTTCCCCTGTTTATGGTCATTACTCAGAAAAGTAATGTGTACACATATTACACAAAACACTTTTCTTGGAAGTCATGCATTACTTTTAAGAAGTACTGCACTTAATTATTTTATTACTCCCATAAGAATGTAATTTGTTATACTACTCTTCACATTACTTTTGCATTTCAAACATATTATGCAGACACACATTTTTTCTCTCAGTATTTAGGTATGAACACAAAGCACAAATGTAATCCAAATAAAATCCAGCACACAGAGACTACAAAGTGAAAGCCACAGTCATGTAGAATATACACGTCTGTTCATGCTTAGATGTACATCATTTAAATGTGAACAGACAAAGACGGAGCCTGCAGCACTGGCTCATCGGTGCCTTTTTTACCTATTGAAATTCAGGGTCTCGCTGCTGGTTCAACATGATGGATATCAGAACAGTTCACTCCACTATAGCTCTCCCCACTTTCCAACTGTTTCCAGACTCTCTCCAAACCCACACAAAGACTGTTCACCATAGGGGATTCTCCAAGCAAACCTGAGCACAGTGAAATACAGACTGGCATCTCTCTCACAGGCAAGCTGAAATATTAACTCAAGGGTTGGAGGTGAGTTGCACTAACTTATTCAAGACAATGATCCAGTGAGGATTAAATAACGCCACTCCCACTGCTCTTGCAACAGTTGTATAAAGATCGAATGGCCAGACACCCCATACTTCCGAAAGACCTCCCACAGAATACTCCAAGGGACATGGTCGAATGTCTTCTCTAGTCCACAAAAGCATGTAGACTGGTTGGGCAAACTCCCATTAACCCTCAAGTATCCTTGAAAGGTAAAGAATGGTCTAGTGTTCTGCAACCAGGACGAAAACCGTATTGTTCCTCCTGTATTCGACTAACGGATAGACTCTCTTTTTCAGCACCCTGGCATAGACTTTGCTGGGGAGGCTGAAGAGTGTGATCCCCTATAGTTGGAACAGACCCTCTGGTCCCCCTTCATGATGATGGGAACCACCAGCTGGTCTGCCAATCCAGAGGTACCGCCCCTGACAGCCCTACAACACCCGAGGGCCCTGCCACCAAGGAATGGTAAATGGACTAGTTCTTATATAGCGCTTTTCTACTCTGAGCACTCAAAGTGTTTTACACAACTTGCCTCATTCGCCCATTCACACCCATTCGTACAAGCTATTTTTTCTATGCTCCAAGAGCTTTCCATATAACATTCACTCGTACTCATACTCCGATGGATGCACTGGAGAGCAACTTGGGTTAAGTATCGTGCCTAAGATATTGACATGCAGATGAGAGTAGAAGGGGATTTAACTACAAACCTTCCGATTAGAAAGTGACCTGCTCAACCACCTGAGCTACAGCAACAAGGAGTTGTTTAACTTCAGTGACCTTACACCAGTGATGGATGAGTCATCCCCCTCGTCCCCAGACTCTGCTTCCTCTACAGAAGATGTCCTAGTGGGATTAAGGAGGTCTTTGAAGAAGAAAGTCTTCCTCCATGTCCTCTCCGAACTCCTCCCACAACTGAATTTTTGCTTCAATTAATGCCCGAGCCACGTTCCACTTGACCTGTCTGTACCTATAGGCTGCCTCTGAAGTCCCACAGGCTAACCAAGCCCAATAGGACTTCTTCACCCTGATGGTTTCCTTCACCTCCGGTCTCCACCATCTGGTTCGGGGGTTACCACCACGACAGGCACCAACCACCTTGCGGCCGCAGCTCAGTGCAGCAGCGTCAGCAATGAGGTCCATTCGAACTCAATGTCCGCATCTCCTGTTGACAACCCCACAGGTGGGGGCTCTGCAGGCGTTCCCAGCTTACCCTCAATATCCATTTAGGTGCCCCAGGTCTGTCGAACATCCTCTCCCGCACCTGATACAACTTACTACAAGGTGTTGATCAGTTGACAGCTCAGCACCTTGCTTCACCCGAGTGTCCAGAACATACTTCTGCAGATCTGATGATACAATTACAAAACTGATCTTATGAACTGCGGCTAGGGTGTCCTGGTGCATGAGCACTTATGGACACCCTTATGTTTGAACAAGGTTTTGTTACTGTGGTTTGCACAGAAGTCCAATAACAAAACACTGCTCGATTTCAGATCTGGCAGGCCGCTTTTCCAGCCACGGCCGTCCAGGTCTCACTGTCACTGCCCACATGAGTGTTGAAGTCTCCCAGTAATGAGAGGTCCCCAGGGCAGCACCCTCAAGCACCCACCTAGGGACTCAAAGGCAGCCAGGTACTCTGAACTTTTAGGCCATGTTATGGAGTAATGCAAAAGTAATAAAACAAATTCAATTCAATCAAATCCTGCTCCTCACATACAAGTTTTAAATAATCAGGCCCCATCTTATCTTAATAACCTTGTAGTACCATATCACCCTATTAGAGCACTCGATCTCGCACTGGCAGGCCTACTTGTTGTTCCTAGAGTATTTAAAAGTAGAATGGGAAGGAGAGCCTTCAGTTTCAGGCCCCTCTTCTGTGGAACCAGCTTCCAGTTTGGATTCGGGAGACAGACACTATCTCTACTTTTAAGATTAGGCTTAAAACTTTCCTTTTACTAAAGCATATAGTTAGGGCTGGACCAGGTGACCTGATTCCTCCCTTAGTTATGTTTTCCTTCCCACTGTCGCCAAAGTGCTTGCTCATAGGGGTCATATGATTGTTGGGTTTTTCTCTGTATCTATGAAGCGCCTTGAGCGCCTTCATAGATACATTGTTGTGATTTGGCGCTATATAAATAAAATTGAATTGAATGAATAGTGTTTTTACAGGGAGTAATTAAGTAACACACTGCCACACTTTTTAAACAGTAATGAGAAATATAATAATGGATTATTACTTTGAGTAACAGCACCACCACTGTTCATATATCATTGATAGTTGGAAAGAACTTAATCTCAAAATAAAGCTGTTGGTAGAGAATCAAGTTTAATAAGTAAATGATCTGAAGACTAAAATTAAAGTAATTTCAGTAAATGATATGCTTAATTTCCTCTCATGTGATGATCTGAGTTGTGGCTAAAGGTTTGGGGCAAGGAGATTCAGCACCTATCAATGACTAACCAAAAATCAATTAGACAGGCAGAAGAATTAAGCTAATACTTCCACCACAGATACCTGAAGGAAGGCTGTACTGGGTGTATTCAGGCTTTTTCCCTTTTCTGGAAGGTAAAATATGCTGACGAGAAAGGCTCTTTTCTTCTGCAGTGTTGTGCTGGTAGACTAGCAAAACAAAGAATGTGACAGATGAGCTATGTTTTCTACAGAAAATAATATACAGTCATTGATCGTCTTCTTCTTTCAATGTGTTTAGTCTTTGTCACAGTGGATGGAGCTCCATCTCACTAGATCCAAGAGCCTATGAGGTCTTCTCCTGTCTGATGCTTCATTCACAACTGCCCAGTATATCCACTATCCATCCACTGTACATGTCCAAATGATTTCAACTTTGCCTCTCTAACCATTTATCACATCCCTCGATTATTAAGTGAATTTCAGGCTGAGAGGTACCATAGCTGATTTTGGCAATAAATCAAAAGTAAAGACTTGGATCTCAAATTTTATGACTGATGCCTGAGCAGGAAAACTTTCTGTTATGTAATCTCACTTATACTGAAGCTTGGAACTGTTCTCAAATAATATCAGCAGGAAGTTAGCCTGGTATTATTATTATTATTTTCTTTAATGAAAAAAATTTTTTTTTCTCAATACAGTTTTCTAAGTTTGCAGATAATGCTTTGGTAGGGTGAGGTCGAGGTCAGTGTCTGTTTTGCAGGATGACCACAACACTGCATCAGCCTTTCACGGCTGAGGATTTAAAAAAAACAAAACACAAATTGTCTTCATTACAAGTTTCTTCAGGCGACATTTTTCAAACAAAGTAGCTCTTTTGCTGAGTGATTTTAATTCATTCTCATGTGTTGCTGATCATCTGTGGTCCTCCTGATTATCAGATGTAAAGAAATACAGCATATACAAGAATTGTACAGTGAGGGTGTAGATTTATAACAACCTACCATGAGTTGTGAGGTCAGTCTCTCAATCTGTTCTCGTTGATGCTTAAACAGCTGGAGGTGATCAGACACAACACGTGAATGGCTTCTTCATGTGTTTGTGTATGTGCATAAATGTGTTAGAATGCTACCTTGCTGCTGTGATCTTGCTGCTTAATAAGCTGATGGTTTTCCACTTCAAGCCGCTTCAAGTCTTGCATAGGTAGCCTCACTCCATCATCCAACACTGCTGCACCTTTTGCTGTAGACTTTACCAGAATAAGACATGAACAAAACAGAGACATGAATGAAATGAAAAGAATATCATAAATAGATCATTTAGTATCACTTGTGTCATCTTTACAGTAAATGAAGATGTGTGTTTACAGTTAATGCACGTGAACTGTGTAGTTAACGACAGGAAATACTTCAGATCTGCCAGTGCGCATGTACCATATGTGATCATAATCTTCTGGAACTGTACCCATAAAAATTACAAATACAGGTGGCTCCAAGTGGTACCGCCCTGACCTTCTAGCAGATTCACCTATGGTATAAATGTGAAAGCCCCAGGCAGTTTTCTGAAAATTTGCCATCTGACCTTTACTTTCAGTTCAAGCTCACTGGGATTTAAACTCTTCTGAAATTTTTACTAGATGCATCACTAGAGGCTGAATGTGAAATTCCTATGTGAGTTCCTTCTTGAGATATGGCATTCCCAAGATTGACTTCTGACCTTGATAGGGTGACAGCGATACACTAACAGCGCTTTACGACTAAGGGGTAAAAATGTGTACCCAATTTCAATTTGGCTCCGTCTTCTACAACATTGTCTTTGAGCAAATGAAGACTGATTGCACCACGCTTGCTTACATACTTCTAGAATGCTCCTTAGACTATTCACTGTGACTGCTTGGATATATGCTGCAACCTTATTACAAATATTAGTGTAAACAACAAATATCAACTTCTGTGTCAAAGTGCAGATGAGGACAGACCATTAACCCCCCCATGAAAACATATTTTTTAAACTATTAAAAAGAACAGGGAATCCAACTTTGGATTCTTTTCTTTTGATCCAAAGTTTTATTTTCAATGCCCCAAAATTCAACAAATCTTTTCTTCAAGTCTAAACCAAAGTGTAAGCTCAAACCCTTGTCTTATTTTATCAAAACTGATCTAATAATGCTCTCTAAAGAAAACTTGTACGTTTAGTAATGCTATTTTGGACATGCCTTGCTCTGTTGAAGAAGCGCTTTAAAGAGGCAAGGAAAATTGAATTTAATAATTGTTTAACTCATTTCAACTGTTGATGACCTAGGCTAAGATATGAATCTTTCCTAAATTAAAGACGAATTTTTTTTGCACTATGGTGATGAATCAGGAGATATCTATCATCCTTTAGACATTCACAAGTACAGCTAATAATAAGACGACATCCAGGGAGCTGTCTAAAATATCAGCAGTGAGAAAATGACCTTGAAGAACCAATTTTAAATCAGGCACTGTATATTTTCTGATTTTAGTACAGTCCTCACAAATCTGTGAGAAACGACGTACCTTATTTGCACACAAACGTATCATATACACATAAATATACCTATGTACAGATGCAATCAATTCTTTCTCTCTCTTTGCCTGCATCTTCATCTCGATGTCTTTGTCCTTCATCAAAGTACATCCTTCCTCTAGGCTCTTTTTAGGTGAGACACTATTTTCTCCAGTTTCTTGCATTTCTGCTGTGCCTCCTCCTGCTGAAAATAGAAATATGCACAGTGAGATAGTAGAGCAGTACGAACAAAACCTAATCCTCTCTCTGACTGACTAAATGGGGTCTCACAATTTTAAATCCTGGACCTTAATCTGTTTATACTCTATATAAATAACATACAAATGTCTAAATTATTAAAATATAATTTATTTCTTGATGACATCACCTAATATTGTTTTGGGAAAAGTCTGGAATGGCTTCTAAATATAGTGGAATTGGAATTCCAAGAAATTGTTTAATTTAAATGAGAGCAAACAAAGTATCTAATATCAACAGGCAAATAAAAAATAAAGTCAATGATGAACAAGGTTGAAATGGAAAGACTGTATGAAAATACATTTTTGGTAATTGACCTTCACTTATATTCAAAATCATCCAAGAGTTTTAGTAGATACACCTAGGTTTTAATTTGAAAATCCTAGGTGACATTTTTCTCCAGTTATCGTGTTCAAAAGGTCCACTGCTGGTGGACCATCTTTAGGAGTAGTCTGGGTTACACAAGCAATGTGTACACAATTTTACACATTGCTTGTTCCTTTAAAAGTGATGCAGCACATTAATTGTTTACTGCCCAGAGAAGGTAATGTTGAATAAAACAGAGCTTAAATGTAGGCTTAGCCTACCTCAACAAATTTTATCTTGTTTTAGGAACATATTTAGACTGTACCCAGTCTAGGGGTCGAGAGCAGAAGAAAAGAGGAGTATATGGTGAAAACAAACAGGATAAAACAAACTCAGGGATTATATTGTAAACTGTCCTGCAGAAACCCATTTGCACTACGCTCGGAGGACAGAGGAGTCCCTGTCCCATATGAAACGCCACTTGCTTAGAGTTTCCAAGTCTCTAGGATGAAAAATGTCTCTGACTGATCAACCTGACTCACCTCAGGGTGTATGTATGCTCATATATGTGTTTACCCTGTGGCCTGGACCTGTACTTCATCTAATGTTGGCAGGTCAGAAAGGTATTTCTCCAGTGTCTCTATGCGTTGCTGGTTTTCTTGGTTTTGGTTGTTCTCTCGCTGAAACTTCTTTTTAGACTACAGATGTAGCGATCCCTCGTTTTTATCTGTGGATGAAGAAAATACATATTCAAACATATGTTTACGTTACTATACTTCAAGAGTAAAGTACACTTTAAAGAGTAAAAAATGTTATATATATTAATTATTACTGTACCCTTTCCTCCAGTTTTCTGATATCCTCTGAATATTTCTGAGTAATTTGCTTGAAGACTTTGCTGAAATGGATTGTGTCAAGTTCAGCCACAGCTAATTTCTTAACAAGTTCTTCATCACAGGACAACTGATCAGGTGGCTGCTTGCGTGAAGTTCTCATTGTTGAGTCCTTAAAGATGACCAGAACTTGTGCTATAACTTTAATTATAAAAATGTTTTATGTGGTTATTAAATTTGGATATGAATGTTCATTTATTACCTGGATGTTTCGGGTGTGAGAGTCATCAAACAACCTTCTCTGGCTCTTTAAGACCTGATGTATTTTCTGTTCATTATCTCTGATCCGCGCATGTAGTAGCAAGATCTGTAGCTTTTGTCTGAAAGACAGAATTCGTTCCTACTTACAAAGATTCCCACCTGTATTGTTTTTTCCATATGCAATAAATAAATGACTAAAATAAAGTTTATTCGAGAACTGACAGGGTGAACAATTTGGATCTGCAAAAGATACCCAAACATGCCAGATGAAGAGTGAAAGTAGTGACAAAGAGAAGCACCAATGTTTGGAACACTTCAGTGTACCATAGTATTGTTGTGTGTTTTTAGGATTTTTCGCAAGCCTTTTTATACTTCAAAGGAACAAGACTTTTCCAATAAAAAATAAAAAACAACATCAAAGTTGTACATGTAAAAGGTTAGAATTTTGCTTTTGTAACCTTCAGGATGTCTGTGAAGGTTCTCAGTCATCCAGGTCATCGTAGTCAAAGGAGCTTGTAAAGAAAAGCGTCTGGACTTCTTTAAGGTGCTTGAAGACGTTTCACCTCTCATCCAAGAAGCTTCTTCAGTTCTAAGGTCAAATGGTGGGGAGTCCTTGACCTTAGAACTGAAGAAGCTTCTCGGATGAGAGGTGAAACGTCTTCAAGCAACTTAAAGAAGTCCAGACGCTTTTCTTTGCAAGCTCCTTTGACAACCTTCAGGATGCACTGGTGTGGTTTGTAGTCAAATCTCAAACAGCAGGCACAGGAATCACAATATCCACATCTAAGGCCATGATTCTCTGCCACAAAGCGGTAGTTGTAGCTGGTGTTTTTATTTGTTGTTCTTCTCTTATCAAATACACAACTCCTTATTTGCTACCACCATCTTCACTTTTTACTTAAAACTCTGTAAACTAACACAAGTTTTATATTTCCAATGCTAATGGAGTGAAAGCAGGAAAACAAAACAAGTCAAATCAACAAGTGTAAGCCTGGGTGAATAACAATATACACAGTTGCAACTGATCGCAGCTTGTTCCACAATAACTTTCACATATTTAGTTTGAGATAAGTATAGGTATTGGTGGACTGTTCTTATATTTTTCAAAGAGTACACTGAGTACAGGCTGTGGGTCTTTTCTTGGCAGCTTTAAGGGCTCAGGTATGGACAGCTTGCTGCACTTAACCTAGCTGCAACTCTGATTTTTGGCTAACTTCCCTTTTCAGTGCCTTGAGTTTGGCCTCTAGTGTCCTTCTACATGGAGGCTAGTGCTCCTTGAGGCTGTTCACCTTACAGCCAAGCATCACTGCTGCCGTCGTGTAGATCAGATGATTAGATTCAGTGATGGTTGCACTAGGGATTATCAGTAATGCTGCATTCACATCTTCGAGTACACCTTCAGAGGGTACAATCGCTTCTTCCGAATGTTGGAACACTGAGCGAAATGACGAAACTGACAACGAAACACTGAGTTGTTTCGTTGTCAGTCTGGATGTTGGGTATCAACGATCCCATAGATTCCACATCCTCTTCATGTAACCTCCTCCGCCAGGGTTATTTGCATAGTATAATTCCAACAGCTCCCTGTTTTCATCCCTTGTTGACTTATGCCTCTGTCAGTGCGCCACAGGGTGGCTGTGGCTACAATGTAGCTTGCCATCACCAGTGTGTGAATGTGTGTGTGAATGGGTGGATGACTGGATGTGTGAAGCGTTTTGGGGTCCTTAGGGACTAGTAAAGCGCTATATAAATATAGGCCATTTACAATTTATGCCTTCTTGTTCTAGTAGCCCACTTCTCATCAGTGTGTCCTGGTTCCTCAACACCTCATGCCAACCTTGGTTATCTAGACAACGTTCGAGCTGGTATGGCTTCAATTATCTCTTTCTTGCTCATATCCCTATCCAAGGTAGGCATGAGGGGATCTGGTCTGGGGATCCTTACTGGAGACAGACGCTCTGGTCGGGAGTCAGACCCCCAACCTGAAAGTGGGTAGTGTTACCCCTACTCTAAATGTATATATGCATGCATCTGCATGCAAACACACACACACACACCCATATAGGGCAACTAAAATATCTGTCTGTTTGGCTTTCAGTACCTATTTATCTGTTGCTCTCTTTGTCTCAGTAGATCCTCTTTTACCTTAACCAGATTGTTGACAGGCAGGGAGGTCCCTCTCAGCATCTGGTAACACACAAATATAGAGAAGACAAAATCTAATTTATGCACACAGCGAAATCATGACATAATGTAAAAGCCTTAGTTGAAGTCAGTTATAATCATGTAGTAGAGAAAGTTTTCACAGGACTGCCCAGTGAAAAACTAAGTACACCTCATGATTCAGCAGCATGTAGTTCTCTTAGGGTCCTGACAGAGCATTTCAGTTCCGTTAAGGTCCAGACTTGAACTGGGTCATTGCAACATCTTTATTATTTTTTGTGCATTCTTGTGTAGATTTGCTTTTCCCTGTTGGACAGATGCCGTTATATTTACAGTGATGTGAAAAAAATACACTTTTCCTGATTTCCTAACTTCTGTATGTTTGTCACACTTAAATGTTTCAGATCATCAAACAAATTTAAATAATAGACAAAGACAAAACAAATAAGCACAAAATGCAGTTTCTAAATGAAGAAGTTTATTATTAATGGGGGAAAAAATCTAAACCTACATGGCCCTGTGTGAAAGAGTGACACCACCCCTAAACTAACCCTAACTTGTTGGGCCACTATTAGCAGCAACAACTGCAATCAAGCCTTTTTCGATAACTGGCAATGAGTCTTTTACAGCGCTGTGGAGGAATTTTTGCCCACTCATCTTTGCAGGAATTCATTCACAATGAAGGGTTATTGAACATGAATCGCCTATTTAAGCTCATGCCACAGCATCTCAGTCAGACTTTGACTTCATTTTGGGGGTTTTTAAGCCATTCAGAAGTGGGCTTGCTGATGTGTTTTCTATCATTGTCCTGCTACAGAACCCAAATACCCAAATACGCCTGAGGTCACAAACAGATGGCCGGACATTCTGCTTCGGGATGTTTTGGCAGTCCATATTGTCCAAAACAACCCCACCATCACACTACCACCGCCATATTTCACTGTTAGATCCAAGATAGCGCCGATGTTTGTGGCTCGCCATCTACCTGTCTTACCTGTTCTGTTTTTCGTCTTATTGATAATGTTAACTTTGCTCCAGTTTGTTCTGTGTGTGTTTGTTCTAGTTTTTACCCTTTTGCTATGTAAAGCACTTTGGTCAACCTCTGTTGTTTTTAAAAGTGCTTATAAATAAATTGAATGATTGATTGATACTGTTGGTATGATGTTACTTTTCTGAAATACTATGTTACTTTTACGCCCGATGTAATGGGACACAAACCTTCCAAAAAAATAGACAATCAGAAAGGGGACAAACACTTTTTCACACCACTGTAACTCTAGAATACTATAATACAATGATTGCAAGATGTCCAGTGCCTGCAAAAATAATTACTGGTATGAGGTGTTTGTGCTGACTGTGGTTTTTGAGTTTGGTTTTTGTCAAACATGGTGAATTTTATATCCAATCATCTGAATTTAATTTGGTATTATTTTATGCCAGTTCATAACAGTCATTTCAAAACAGCTTGTTGTACTGTACGGTAAAACAAAAACTTTAAAACACTGGAGACTGTGTGATTGCCCCAGCAGTCTCACAATGTGTTACCAAGGTTACAGTTACAGGGAGTTACAGGGAGGACAAATATCTATTGGGTCATTAGTGACCAATCTAGGTTTTAGGTTAGCAGCAGGGTTTGGGTTGACTTAACAAGCAAACCGTTTTCATATAGCCAAAAACCTAATAACAAAATGTATGAGATTCATCTGAAATGTAACACATTGTAATTTGTGAACTATTGCTAATTGCATCTAAAACAACACCCAACCTTATCTCTAAATAGAGAGCTACATGTTATGATGTTAACAGGGAGAAGTTCATTGCCCCCAACCTAAGACCTCTGTCAAAACCAGACTCAGGGAGGGGTAGCCAACAGCAGCTGCTTGGTGAGATTAAAGACAAGACATATTTGAAAGCCATAGAAAGACAGTGATCAAACCACAAGTAACTACCTCTCTGAATAATAGGGTTGCTGTGTCCTAAATCATCCTTTCTCAATCTATGAGCATATTTACCTACACAGGATCAAGTCGTGGTCTTTTTATTTCCATACTTTTTCACTTTCCTCGTTTCTATGTTTATTTTCACTTTTATATGATAGCTGTAAAACCCCACTCACCTGTTTAAGCCCTGGATCACATTGATGTCGCTGTTGCCATAGTGACTGCTCATCTCCACCGCAGCCCTCTGTTCCAGTATCACTGTTATGACCAAGTTCACCTCCACACTTTCCTTTGAGCCTGTGCTCCATGTGCTCAGTCAGCCACATCTGGGTGCGTGCTTCAAGTTGAACTGGGGACGTTCTATTAGTCTGATGACCCAGTGGAGAGTCCATTTGGTTGTATGAGATGGGTTGATAAATACTGTAGTCCATGTATTGTTTCACTGGTGAAGACAGAGGTGAGAAAAGGGACATATCTGCCTCCAAACCAGTGGATAGCCTGCAATTGTTGTACTGGTAACCTGTGCTGGCACCTGGCGAGTGCTGGAGTAAGCTACTGCAGGCTGTGGGAGAAAGTAGCGGTAAATATAAGTCGACATCGGAAACTTGAGGTACCCTTCTATGCCTATGCTGTAGAACTCTATCTAGGGATCCTTGTGCATTTGGGTTGTACCGATATCCTGCTGTGCTAGTATTGCACGTATCAGTTCCTAATGATAAGTTGGAAAGCGAGGAGCACCTCCGGATAGACTGATGGTCCTTTGTGTCTAGACAACTTTGTGGGTCCAGATGAGATGTGGCTGGCACATGCTGCTGAGAAGACCAGTACGAGTAATTTGTGCTGTGGCTTGAAGCTGGCATTTTAAAAGTGGTTTTATGTGAGGATGAAACAAATGGCCTTACATGGACAGTAGGAATGCCATTATCCTGGCCCAAGTGCTGCTGCAAGAGTGGCTGGGAATACAGATGGGTGGTACTGGAACTGGAGTCATCTAGGGAAAGATATAAAAGGTTAAAGAAAAAATATGGGAAGGATCAAATAACAACACCAACCTATATTTATTGAGAACTGTAAAAAAAAAAAATCCCTTCAAGAAAGGGTTTTAGCATAAAAAAAAAAAAGAAAAAAGGTACTGTAACCATTTACATAAAGACCGCAGTGACAAGATTGTGTATAATGCATGGATGGCTGTAGCTCAGGAGGTAGAACAGATCATCTACTGATCAGAAGGCTAGTGATTCAATCTATGGCTCCCCCAGTCTGCACGCCACTTGGGCAAGATACTAACCCCAAGTTGCTCTCCATTGCATCCATCGGAGTATAAATGTGTGTGAATGTTAGTTAGGAAGCACTGAAAAGCACTGAAGACAGTGAATGTGGTATGTTGTATAGAGCGCTTTGAGTGCTCCGGGGAGAGTAGTAGCTATATAAGAATCATTACCATTTACCATATATGCTCCTTGGGAAATCTATCTTGTAACTTACGACGCAACCCAAAACTCCTTTTAACCCTACGCCATAATCTTCCAGGGTTTTCAGAGACTTAAGCGCGTGTGCTAAAAGAGTAAGACATTTTCCACCTTTGTCAACTTCTTTAAGATGCCAAATGAAGACTGAACTCAGAGCTGACCTGGAAACTTCAGTGCTGAGATGTCCAAAAATATCCAAACACACCACAGCTGTGCACAGAGCACAGCACAGCTCCACTGTCCTTTCTCAGATTCATCCATAATCAAGATATTTGCTATGAACTTGTCATGGGCCAAGACCACCAAATTCCTCTTTCTTTTTTGTAACATGGTGAGATGACAGGACCTATCACACAGCATTAACTTTCCCTTTGTGAGCTGCTGGAAGCTGGGGTGGAAAGAGAATAAGCTTTACTAAAATCGCTGTGATTACATCAGAATATGAATCTGTTGAGTGCACAGTTGAAAGCTCGGCGGGGCTTTGTGTCGGGGTCCTCCAGTAGGCTCTGTGCAGCAGACAGGCTGACAGAGAGAAACACTTCTCTACCAGACTAAATCTGTAAGAACAGCAGTGGAAGTGTCTCCCACTGATTGTACAAATATAGATATATTTTTACTTGTTATTTATCTCACGAGTCGCTGTGATTTGGACGACAGAGATATGCTGCTTCAGTTTGCTCTGCCCTGCCTACTGAGTAACCCGACTCCGGCTTATTTTCATACTAACATTGATCGGGTGTTTAGCTGGGGGGCGGGATCTCTGCCGAGTGCTGCGTGAGCGTGGGCACAAACAGAGCGAACCAGAGGCGAAATAGTCTCATTTGTGCCTTTTCCAGTGGATTCTTCAGCTACTGTAGTAAATCCTGTCCATATTCAGTTTGTGGGTAATCTTAATTTTCTTTCACAACTTCTAAAAGTTTGACTCTTGGCCCAGAGTAGAGCCCCGATGTGATGTATATTATATTTATCTGATACCTTAAGAACTCTTTGTTTTCACAATATGACTAAATTATGTACAGTAATAACGCTTGTTATTCAGGCTACTTCAAAAATTTACCATGAGAATTGTTTAATATAACGGTCATTTAACGATAAACTATAAAGCGTGTTTACATGTATTTTGCAACATACGATCAAATATTTGAAGAATATTACTAAATGGACTATGCTGTGGCATCAGATGTCTGTGCTAAAAAATAAAAGCCACGGATGACTTCTAGCTCGGTAACAACGGAACCAACGTGCCGTATACTCGATATGTTAAAGGATTTAACAAGGACACAGCACTGCAGATGAAACGGAACCAGCTCCTTACTTGGCTATCATGTATTTCCAAAGCTCCTTACCTGTTTTATTAGATTCCATCTTTAAATTAGAAATGATTGGATCCATCTTCAAAATCACTTCTGCATCGCATTTTTTAAATAAAGGTCTTTTTATATCAGAGTAGGGAAAATCACGTTAAGCTCACTAAGATGACAAAGGAGAATAAAAGCAAGACGTTCAAGACGCGACAGTCTCCAGCAGCAAAGCTGTCATATATGCATACTTCCAGTAAACGAGGCCGTTCTGGGTTAACCATGAGTGGAAGTGCACCCAGTAATCTCTTCCTCCGACACCCGCATGCGCCTCATAGTAATTCTTCGGCTGGGCTGAAACCGTTCCTGGCACAGTAACGAAATTATTCAACAAAAATGTGCAAATAACGTGAGAAGTCTCGTGCTTTCAGTCAGCCTACAAATTGCTAGGGTGACAAACCGCGGTCAAATTTCTTGCGCTTCTACAGTCACCTTTACGGCAGCGCCTGTTCTCTTTAATTCCCGATCGCATGTATGACAAGCCATTAGTGCCAAATATCGCCCCTTTTCTAACCCGTGGTTTTCTGCCACCCGGATGGCGCCTTGAACGCACCATCCGAGTGGCCAATAAACACGATTTTGATTATGAGGTATTTCCCTCTGGACTGGATGGCACACACGAGTAAATTAAGTAGAAAAATGTCATGTTTAAAGCCTCTTTAAAAATTGTTTTTTGGAAACCACAAGAAGAGAAATATGTTGCATTCCCTTATGTCATTTTACATCTTCACTGTCAGTAGACAATTGTGAACATATTTTGATCTGGCTTTTTTTCCTTAACTCAATAGACCTGGCACACATTCTACAAAGACAACTCTCTTCCTCTGCTTCAAGCTCTTTGCTTGTAGCTTGAACCTATTTGCTGGAACGTTGAGGACAATATAATTGCACAGCAAAGCAAGACACGGGTAGGCAAAATTCTTCATGTTTCTCGTGCACGGGAGAGACCGGACAGACGCCGTTCCTTCGCTTGCAGTATATCATATTCATAAGTTTAAAATGTGTCTTAAACTTAAAAAAAAATCTGCTTTTTATTCTGAATTATGCGTTGGTTTTAAATTTACTTTATGCTTGTTTATATTTAGTGGTCTTCGTGAATATAATTTGTGACGTGTGGGATCGCTACTTTTTAAATTATAACTTAATGAATCATCGGTTGTTGTCTAATGCTGTGGTTTCTTTGTATTTGTAGAATGCCGTTGTGTGTGGCATAAGATCTGCCTCCAGACATCTTCAGAAGACTGGGATATGTCCGACGTAAGTGTACAGTGAAATTCAACCTGGAAAGACTCAGATATGGAGAAAGAATTAGACATGCTTTATTGAACATTAAATATTTGGCGGTCAGACCCCGGCGGGAAAACTGTTGATAAAAGCATTGCTGATTGAAGTAGGAGGTCTTCCCCCGGGGTCTGGACACTGGTGGTGGTATGGAGGCAGGGGGCAAGCATGGGGGTGCAGGGGTGGTGGAGGGATGCGAAAACGCTGCGAGGCCAAGCTATGGGTGAAAGAGCTTAAATGCTCGGATGCTGAATGGAGGCGTAGGTGCGAGGGAGCTCCGGATTGGCTGTGACGTAGTGAGCAGCTGAAGGGAGTTGAGATGATGATGATGGAGACGATGTGCAGGTGTGTCTCCCAGGTTGAATTTAAGCAGGCTTCATTATAATATAGTTAATATTGACGTAGATGCAGTTCGTGAAGATTGCCACATGTTGCTTGCTCTTCCTTTTTCTTTCATCACAAAATTATAAGGATAATCAGTTTTGTAAGTGTTGTCTCAGATAGAGAATTGAAAGCAGATAGATTTTGGACTGGATAGAGTGTAGAAGTTATGTGAGAGAGGCCAGAAATAAATAAACACATTGTAAAAATATTACTTAGATTTTATTATAATCCTTTGTAAAAAAAAACAACAAACAAAAAAAAACCGTTTCATACAATCTAGTCTCAAAGGTTTTACAAATTTTGATCTGTGGGGGTCATTGTGGGAGGGGCTCTGGGACCAGGTTAGGGCTAGTGTCTTAGTTTTTTTGTTTTGTGTTTGTTTTTTTGTTAATGTCATTGTTCAAAAAATATAAATTGAATATTAGAAATGGGACAAATATCAAAAAAGTACTGAATCGATCACAGATTGCAAATTGATCAAGCAGAATCAAAATACTTGCACAAAATACATATCTACTGCACATTTTCTTCTTTAAATCGGGAGGTATTTCTTAGTACTTTTAAGACATCTAGAGACTTTGGTTTACGTCCCGAGCTCTGTGACGTGAACAATTTAGCATTTATCCTTCCCATGTTTATTTCTGTTATTTAATCTATGCTGTATTTACGAACAGGGTGATGTCTCATCTGATGAAGAATACATCCCAAATTCTGCATCAGATTCAGAAAGCTCAGGAACAGAGTTGTCTATTGAGTTACCTGGACCATCAAAAAACTCCCATGCTGCTAGCATGCCTGATTTATGCGTTACTTTTGCTGAAAAAGAACAGACCATGGATGTTAAGAACAACTTTGAGCACATTTTGAATGATCTTGAAACTACTGATGATCTTCATCCCGACCAAGAACCAGACAGCTCAGAGTCATGCCAGCAGAAAACAAAAGATGCATGTAGCGAAAAGAGTACTGTGGATATGCTGTGCCAAAATGAATCCCCAACCAAGTCAACAAAATTAATCAAAAGCACAGTCAATTTTTGTTTTGTGTGTGGAAAACCTCAAACAAAATTTGCACGTCATCTGGAGACGCATGTAAATGAAAATGCTGAAGTCGCCCAGGTGCTTCAGTTACCCAAATCATCAAAGGACAGAAAAGTTCATCTTGAAAGGTTACGAAACCTTGGTAACTTCAAGCACAACTCTGCTGTTAAAACCACAGGATCAGGTTGTCTTAAAGTGAAAAGGATCTCAAAAAAGAGCAGCAGCAGCGCTGAGACATACGAGTACTGCTTATACTGTAAGGGTATGATATCCAGAAAAGAAGTTTCTCGGCATATGAAAAGATGTGCTTTAAGAGATAGAGTCTTTGGTATAGCATCTACTCAATCCACAATGTCTCAGCCAATTTCAAGTGAACTCTACTCAGTACTGGGCAAGATGCACAAGGATGATGTGTCTAGTGCAATAAGGAATGATCATTATATTATATTATGCAGTTGGCTCAGTCTCTTTTTAATAAGCATGGAAGTGACAGATCAAAGCATGAGTATATAAGACAGAAAGTAAGGGAACTTGGGAGATTACTTGTGACTTTGCCTCACACAACAAGAATCCATAATATGGAAGAGGCAATAAAACCAGCCAACTTCTTTATTCTTACTAATGCTGTCAAGAGAGTTTCAGGTTTTGATACTGAAACCAGCACATTCAAAGCCCCAAGTTTAGCCCTGAAGCTTGGACATTCTCTCAGAAAAATAAGTGATATTATCATGTGTCGTGCTCTCATGGAAGAGGATCAAGAGGCTCAATCAGGAGGTTTCACACACTTCATGAAACAAAGTGGTCTGAATTAGTTTCCCATTCAGCCTTATCAAACCTGAGTGAGGCAAAATACAACACGGTCGACAGCCTTCCACTGACCAGAGATGTTCAGAAGCTGCAGTTATATCTTGGTCAGCAAGTGGAATCGGCTAGGGAGAAACTAGGTGATAACCCAACAGTAGGAACTTATGCAGCACTAGCAAAGGTGATCCTTTGTCAAGTGATTTTGTTCAATAGGAGGAGGGAAGGTGAAGTAGCACGTATGACTGTCAAAAATTTTGAAGATCGTGACATGTCCAAACCAAACGATGACATCAGCTCTGGGCTTACAGAAGTTGAGAAAAGGCTTTGCCAACAGTTTGCCAGAGTGGAACTGAAGGGGGAAAAAGGACGAAAGGTGGCTGTGATCCTGACTTCTGATATGACCGATAACCTGTCACTCCTCGTTAGTAAGAGGAAAGAGTGCGGGGTATCTGAAAACAATATGTACCTTTTCGCCATTCCTTGTAGTGATGGTCACTACAGAGGGCAGTTTGGTCAGTTTGCAGATGCTTGCGGAGCAACAACAACTAACCTTCGCAAACAGATTGCCACGATAAGCCAAGTCATGAACTTGAAAGATAATGAACTAGACCAGCTGGCCGATTTCCTCGGCCATGACATTAGGGTCCATAGAGAATACTATCGACTGCCCCAATCAACAATTCAGCTGGCTAAGATCTCCAAGTTGCTCATGGCCATGGAGAAGGGAAGTGTGAAGGATATTCAAGGAAAAACTCTGGATGAAATTGATGGTATGCATGGTTTATATGTTGTTAAATCGGCTTGGTGTTTGTGAATATGGTTGGTCTAATAACATTTTTTCAATTTTATAGATGACATAGATGGGATGGCTACTGGATCACAGCAACTCCCTGATGCTTCCACATTGCGAGGTACTGAAATTATTGTATTCTGTGTTATAGACTTTGCAGTTGTATTGATAAAATATTTAAAATTTACATTTTATATATATATTTTAGATAATGTTATTGCAGTTCTGTTTGTACTTTGCTGTGTAGTTAATACCATTTACAGTGAGGAAAGTAAGTATTTGCTATTTTGCAAGTTCTCCCACTTAGAAATCATGGAGGGATCTGAAATTTTCAGCGTTGGTACATGTCCACTGTGAGAGACAGAATCTAAAAGAAAATTCCGGAAATCACAATGTATGATTTTATTAAAATATTTTTGTATATTACTGCTTAAAATAAGTATTTGAACACTTGCTTATCATGCAGATTTCTGAACCTCAAAGACCTGTTATTCTGCTTTTAAACAGTCCAACTACACTCTGCTCATGATTCTAATTTAGCAGCACCTGTTTGATGCCGTTAGCTTTCATAAAGACACATGTGCACCCCACAATCTGTCAAAAGTGTTGCAGCAACATGAGTAAAACCAAAGAGCTGTCCAACGACACAAGAGACAAAACTTTAGACCTTCACAAAGCTGGAAAGGGCTCCAGAGCCACTGCCAAGCAGCTCGGTGCGCGTGCACCAAGCTGATTTTTGTTAGAGAGACTTCTGGATGTTATTCAGGATGTCGCCATAGACAAAGTTGAACAGCGCCTCCTTTGACTTGGTTCTGTCCAGCTGCACAACATCAACAGCTGATGCCTCCATGATGTTCTTATGTTTCAGGTACATGGGCCAGACGTGGCCGTCAAAAAGGCCAGGTGGGTCTGGTACCAGATGGAGCGCGTGCAGGTGACTGTGCGTACCCTCTGCAAGACTCCTGCAGGCGCCCCTGAAGGGAAGAGGCTAATGTCTTCCT